TTAGAATATGTGGTTAACAGATGAATAACCTCTTGGTTGAGCTAATTCAGTCACCAGAAATATAAGGGACAAGCCATTTAGGGTCAAAAACTTAAGTTGGTGAGCAAGATACATCATTGTCTTTTGGAACTCAGTGAAGTTGCAAACAAAGAAGTTGAATTTAAAGTACTTAAAGCTTCTTAGAATTCCACTAGTCAAATCATTGTCATGCTTTTTTACTCTAAAACATTTTACACAACGCTTCGTGCAGTTTAGCATCGTTCTTTCATATATTGCATAATTTTTTATTCTGTTGACAAATACACAGATTTGTACAGAAATATTTCCTATTTTTTGACAGAAGCAGATTAAAGAATAAGAAATAATAAGCCATAATTGGGTGTGTCCATTAAAGTAGGATTTGAATGAGATAGAGGAACTATTAAGGAGATGAGACATAAGGCTCTCCTACCATTTGAAAATCCAATGGGGAATTACAAGAGCTGGAAGGAGTGAATCTTGTTTTGCTGGTAATTTGCATGTCATGGGTTAATTGCAGGTTCCAACCAGAGCTTTTTCTGCCGCGGGGCATTTTACAGGGTGACACATCTATGGCATAGATTATAATGTATTAGAACACGGTGGTTCTACATGTTGAAATAGGTGCTTGTGTGGGCTGATTTTAAGCATTGTTTTTGCCAGGGCTGGTTTTCAGTGAATCCACTCCCTGAAATGCTTGTGTGAACACTGGAGCTGGTGCAGGGGAGGAGGGAAGAATGAGTGACAAAGGATGAGGATGGGGAGCTGTGACAGCCCTGACTGAGAGCAACATTGGTTTTCCCAGTACTCTTTTGTTTGCCTGCTACCACTGTTCATGAAATTCATCAGAAACTTACTGTCTTTTCCAGCATATCATATATGAGCTTTAAAAGTACTGGTATTTGCAAGTCCAGCCTCAGATGAGTTTCACAGAATGAGGGGGAAAAAAAGATTGAGAGGCAGCTGGAGAGAGAAAGCATACATGGAGGATCAGAAACAGTGGAACTGTATCAAGGAGTGAATCTTGAGTGGATTTCACTTTGCATTAGCTACATGCACATCTGTCACTACACTACTGCCAAATCACAGGGTGGTGGTAGTTGTGGGTTGTAGGCGTGCTTTGATATTCTTGAGATTCCTCTCCATCCTTTAGATTTGGGTGAAATTTGCCATTGGACCCAAAATTTGGGGTCTTGCATGTGTGCTGGAAGAATCATGAACACAAAAGAAAAAATACAATTATGTTTACATGTAGTCACAGAGGATGATGGCTTGTTTTTCCTAATGTAGTTGGGATGAAAATGCATGAGATTTGAAACCTAGGCTAGAGAAGAGTTGTAAAATGAAAAGACAGGTTAAGACTGTTTGAAGAGTTGTGTGGATTAACCAGAGAAGCACTTGCTAAATAATTGAGTCTTTATTGTGTAGATTTAAAGAATTCAATCTACATCAAGTACAGAATCTAAAGGAGGGGTCTATACCAGTGCTTAGTCACCTAGAAAGAAGTAAATTTAGTGGATTTAGTGCCTGACATTTCTCCAATCATGCCATGTATTTGGGAGCTAATGAAATCAGTGGAAATCAAGTGGTGTAATCCCCAGTACTGACTCATTGTGTTTTAAAATGCCCGACTGCCTGGAGAATTTGTAGTTATCAGGCTAGGTCCTCAGGCACTGTGAGGGAAAATGTTCTCAGAAATGGTGGACTTTTGGATCATATACACGTGAAGGAAAATAAATATCATGATATTCAGTGTGATGATTATGACAGACAAATACTGTGCCTACAGATGAACAGAATATAAAGAGATTGAAAGGAAGGTCTCCAACTTAAAGGCGTTCAGTTCATTTTGCAGTGCATCAGTTTTGTGCCGTCCCAAGGCACAGAAGCTGGCAGATAGTGGTGGTGAGTTCTTTGTCAGCTTGAAGCATCATGTTGAAGAGGGTGACTGGTGGCAGATAGGATGGCACTGTGCGTAGTGATACTTCATTGCCCTCAAGGAACTAATGAGTGGAGCTCTGATAACAAAAAGTAGTCATGTAAAGTTTTTCTGGGAAAGGAGATCAACAGATACAAATCAGCTGATAATCTTGTTGACTTGATACTGCAGCCTGATTGGTACTCTACAAGTATGACAAAGTATTCATGAAAAAAAAGATAAATCGCCTTCCAGAAAGGAGAGAGGGAGAGCATCTGCGCAGGTATTTAAGAAAGCAGTGTAAAGTAAGCATATAAAGTACAGCATGAGTAGATCTTTTTGAAGAAGGTGTTTTGGGAGAACAGTTGATCTCAGGAGTTCACAATTAATTTAGCAGAAGTAGGTCTGGCCACAGTGACAAGCCCACTGTTACCTGGTCATGCTTCACCTTCCATTGCCTCTTTTCAATTTTACTGGAGAAACGTAGTGGGAATCTGAGCCCTGGATTGAGGTGTGATGATGTGCTCTAGTGCTGTTTACACAAATAGCAAATCACTGATTATAAGCCATAATGCATTTAAGATTTGCTTCATCTTCTCTGCCTGAAGTCTAAATAGGAATTGCATATAGATAAAATTATATTGCACATACAAGCGCTCTCATCTTACTTACAATAACCAACGGATTGGATAATCATAAGATAGAAATTAATAATGTTGCAACTGGGATATTGGTGTAGCTTTGCTCTGTTACTGCATTTATGTGCAGAGGTAGCTGTAATATCTCCAGAAGCAGATCTGCTGCTACAATAGCTTGTGCTGGAGAACTTTGCAAGACTAGTAGTAGCAAGCAGCAGTAGAAGGCTGTGGTAGCCTACAGGTGTGAGCAGTGGTTGCTTTTAGACGGAATTGTTTTCTTGTCATTTAGAGAGCTGCTTTGTTGTAGGAGCCAAGTTCCATTGTGTGAGAGCAGGCAAGTGAAGAGCTTTCTTTGAGAGCTTTCAGGAAGTTGAAATTGATGTCGGAGCAAAATCTGGTATCCTTAATGAGCAGTTCAGCTGCCTAGCAGGAAGTGAGCCATGTGACAATCCACAGATAATTTAAATTAACTAACTTTATGAACCTATATTTTCAACATGACCTTACCATATCCAGCCTCCTCCCCCAACAACCTAAATAAACAAACTAGGCACATAATTCAGTAAAATAACTACCGCTGGTTTTAAAGTTGAAAGTCAGTTTTCTGCTTGAACGAGTGCACTGGCAATATGTGTAAAACTGAATCTTCACTGGATCATTTAAAATTGTGTAACACTAACATGAGGGATACTTTCACATTCTATCTACTACCACATTTTTTGCAGCAGAAATTCCTGGGTAGGGAGGTAGTTATTCATGACTGATTTTTGTTGAAGGCATTCTTTTTTTCCTGTACTAAAAAACATCACAGGGATTTTTTGGAAAAAAGGGAGAGTTATTAGTAACACTGCTAATCCCTTCCGGTATTTCTCAACTGTACCACCTTCTAAAGGTTGCTGTGTTTTGAGGCTGGTTGGTTTGGTCATTCCTTCAGCCTCTGGCTAGAAATAGTCAGTGAAGTCTGTTTATCTTGTGAATTAGTTATAACGTGCGAGTGCTGCACTAGCACACTGGCCAAACTGGCAGAGTGATTATGGACTAGCCTTAGGCAAAAGACCTCTTCCATAACTTTAGGTTTATTTACTGTAATTACCATCTCTGAATCAGTCATTCTGATGTGCACTGAATTTTAGTTTTCTTGATTACATATGTGTCTCCAATTATAGAGCAGTGTGATCAAGATAAGGACTATGTAACAGCATCCCTCTTCAAAAACTTCATTAAAACACCTTGTTAACCACTGTTTCAGGGAAGTCACTTCCAATGAATGTGGATGTGGCAAGACTCTGTAATTTATGCTATGTTGTACCATCTATGCTGTCACTGGTATGTGTCCACATTACCAAGGCACTGAACCCAACCTAAACCAGCCAGCTGGGAAGTAGAGGTTATCAGGGCGAGCTGAGTACCACAACAGCACGGTTACATGGCTTTTAGTCTGTTTGGAGCACAAACAGAGAGAATTCACACCTGGAGGAAGCATGAAGTCCACTTCAGCCAGGATTAATTAGGGTAAATATACCATGTGGACAGTTTTCCACAGCCTTAGTTTTTAAGGGACTGCTTAACACACTTGTTAATTCCTAGACAGATTTAATGTTTTCACTTAACCGTTTCTTTCCACTGCAATACTATATGGAGCTCTGATGTGTCATGTATGTGTCTTATCCATGCCAGAAAGAAGGGTGAGAAGCTGTGCTCAGGATGAGGAGAGCAGAACTGTTTCTTTCAGGAATACTGAGCTGGGAAGACGGGTTTAATGGTAGTAAAGCCTGGCAACCCTGATACTGAGAATAAACAAGAGTCTAATCACAGTGCTGATTTACTGCAAATCTGGGATCATGCTAGTGACTTAAGCCCCTAAATTGCCTAGGTATCAAGGAGAGAGAATGGGATCTGCAGTACCCAGCACCTTAAAAAAAGGGAAGTTAGCTAGTGAAAATGCTAAAGATGCAAGTTAATCTGAAACAGTTAATCTAATAAGCAAAGTCATATTAAACAAGTATTAAAACAAGTCATGGTTCAGGTCAGAATTGTTTCTCTTCTGTCTTTAAAAGTAAATAAAACAGCAGCAACAAAAACCTCTAAGCTAAGTTCTTTTTCTAGCAAATGTATTGCCTGACTGGCATTGATATATAAAATACTCAGAAGAAGAACCTAAAGATTTAGTTTATACTTTGCACATTTCAAAACAAATTAATTTTTTTGTTAAAAGTTACAATACCTTTTACATGTTTTGCCTTTTTAACAGTTGTATAAAATGTTCAGCTTTATTAATTTTTGAGAATGTAGGTAATTTGCTAGATATTTCTCAGTATTTATTAAATGTGCATTATAGGAACAATTCAAGCTACAATAAGCTATGAGTTCTAGTGTTTTGAAGATGGCTTTAACAGCTCTTTTGTGAATTTAATTTCCATTTCCAGCACCCGGCCTCACTGGAATTGTTGGAGGGCGCCCCAGAGTGTAAGTTAACTCCTGATCATTAACTTGTTATAATGTGTGATGGTCATGTTACTACTGCTCACCATCACAAGCCTCCCCACCTTGAAACAGCAACCACAAAAGCAGCTAAAGTATTTCCCTTGTATACTATGCTTAATAACTCATTAAAAAGATAATAGTGAGTGCTCCAAGATATGTATGCAGATAGTAAAATTCTTTATGAATTACTGAATAAGAGTTGTGTAAGCCTCTGATCAGCTCATAACAATGTCTTTGCTTAATGAACTGTAGGGAGAACTTTAAATCTGACTTTATGGCAGGGCAATAGCTCAAGCATGTGCTAATACATGCAGATATCTGGACCAGATTTCTCTTGTACCTGTTAGTTTGGAATATGGGCACAGCAAATTTATGTCTGTACCAGCCCACTTCACCTAGAAATGTGAGGTCAGATGTCCCAGGACATCCCACAGAATGTTAGCATGAACCCATTACATTAGCGAGCTGAACAGAATAATGTTGAGCATATTAAGAAAAAAAAAAAATGTAGTTTGCTTCAGTATTTTTCTAGATATGGCTAAAATCTGCTGGTGATTATATGCTCACCTTTCAATACTTATTCATGACAGCATCTAGAACTTTCCTATCCCTAAGCAGATACTTCGATATGTCTGTCTTGTACATGGAGATGGGGGAAGAAAATATAGATATATTTCCAGTAGCTCTGTGTGACTAGCCTAGGTGTCAGTGTGGAGATAATGCCAGTGCAGTAGGCTTCAATGTCATGAAGTGCATCCTTTGTCAAGAAGATACTTTCGTTAATTTGGCTACTCGCCCCCTTAAATTTTCTTCCCTTTTTAAATTTTTTTTAAATAATTATTTTCTTAGTAATGAAATTTAATAAATTTCTACACTTCTCAGGCTTTCCAAAATTGTTTGGAAAACCATTGCTAATCATGGCTAAATAGCTTTTAATTTCCTAAGTGTTTGTCTGGTGTGTGAATAGTCTAAAGGTGTAGGATCTGACTTTTTAATTAATTTCTGGTTAAATGCATTTATGATTGTTGTTTTGTGTGTTTAGATCTCCAGTTCTGAAGCCATTTTTCTTCCATTATCCCAAAAGCAATGTTCAGGTAAGACTTACTGCTTAAAACTTGCTCTGTTCTCTTTGAAATAATTTGAAAAATTTTGCTGACTGCATTTTTCAGTTACTTTGAGTCCTAAAACTTCAAAGTATTCTGGTAACTGATTAAAAAATACTTTTCCAGGGACTAATGTTATTTCAACAGAACTCCACGACAGTGGAGCTTGCCACCCTTGCATTTTAATTATTGTGAATTTTGAAATATCTTGCATCAAAACTGAACTTCTCTTTTCAGGTTCCTAGAATTGTAGGTTTGAATTACTTTTACTGCATTTTCAAAGAGTTCTTATGAAAATTATATATTTTTTGAAAGTTAATGGTCTCTCTTTAAGAGGAGGCAGTGGGGTATTCAGAGAGTTGAACATCAGTCTTGTGAACCTGGACACATCTTCTGACTTCTTTGGTCATCTGCATTTTGTATATGCTACTGGAATTAATTATTAAAATCATTGAAATTCCTCTGATTCACACAGGTTTCACCTTAGCAGAGAGTTGGGCCTTTTTCTTCCAAATACCCTGTCTATAAAAATAGGAGGAGTGATTTCTGCTCTTGCCTGTATCGCAAAAACTGTAAAATTATGAAAGCCTGTGTGACTATTGTGATGAGTATCACGAAGGAGCCTGTGAATGAGGTCTATCTCTGTGGCCCTATTCAGTTCATAACAATAGTTTCTTTCAGTCTGAGAAGTGTCAGTTCAGATGACTAGGCAGTCCTGGGTGAGAAATCACAGTGTAAGATGAAATGTTGAGCTAGAGCCCTACTTCTTTTCTGTTACACATGCACCTCTGTCTAGATTGAAGTCTTCAAGATTAACTCGAAGAAGCTGGTTTTACTGAAAACATAAAATGTTTGGATTTGTAAATGTGGGTTTCTGCTTTTCTGAATGCCATCAGATACTTAATATATCCTTTGGAGACTGCAGACAAAGCTATATATGCCCTTCTTTGTAGCTGTTGCATGCCTCTCATGCCAAAGCATCCTGATAATGATGCTTCTCACTCAGTGAGAGCTTTCTCACTCATTCACCATCAAGAAAGTGGCCGAAGGCTGGAACATTGGTCTGTTTTAGGTGACAGGTATTGACAGGCTTCTGCTTAGGGTGGTGAAGAGGAGGAGCACAGGCAGCAAGTGAAAAGGCAGGGACAGGCGGACGACACAAACAGAAAAAAACAACTGATTAAAAAAGCAACTTTGTAGAACAATTATCAGCAATCAGTTTAAGTGTTCTAAGCATTTCAGAAAAGGACTTTAATTTTTTAACATGTGTACAGTGCTTAGCATAAATAAGACCAGATATTACATTTTGAGTAGTATTCCACATTAGTGGGAAATAGTTTAAGATTAATTTTACAGAGGAGATGCTACTTACTAAAAACAAGTTTATAAACTCTTCATAGTGGAAAAATATTAAAAAACCCCACACTCTTCTTGTCATTTGAAGAGGTTTAAATGCTTATTTTTATTGTCACTTACATTTTGCTTTATACAAATGGCTTGTCTTTGCCAAGTTTAATAGGAAATTTTTATCTTTATGGAAGTTTGGCCAACCACTGTTCCGTTTGTCAAATTAAAGGTAAACTTACTAATTAGCACTGTGTTCCTGACTTGGTAAAATGCTGTTGAGATTAAATAGTAACCTAATTTAGCAGGGAAAAAAAGCAGTGTCTCATCTACCCTTTTCAGTACAGAAAATGAAAATCCTTGTTCTGTGTAACTAATCTGCTGAATGCAGTGATATGCCTGTAACAAAATGTGACCTATCACTACTGTACTGCAGTAATATTAAAGGTTACATAAAAACATGGTGTAAATGATTCAAGTTCTTGATTCAGGCTTCAGCCATGTATTAACAACAGTGGTCTAGCTAGAGATTACAAAGTAAGGTCTGAATTAACTGCTTTTCTAGATTGGAAGTTCAGTTACAAAGAGTCTGGTTGCCCTAGTACAGCATTTGACCTAAAACCAAAAGAATTCCCTAAGGAGATTTTCAGATACATTAATATTGCCACAGTGGGTTCTTTTGTTTTGTGTTTGATAACGCCTTTATGGGTGTCAGTTTGGATTCAATATCTCATTTGTTGTTTCCACAGCTCTTATGCAATTGTCCTGATTTTGTCATAGATCACCAGTGGTTTTACAGGGCAAACAGTAGTTACTTTCCATGTGTACTTTTTCATGTTTAAAAAGTAACCTAAAGCTTTCCCTAAGGAGAAAAATCCCAGCAAACCTACTGAAGACAAGAACAGCTTTCTGAAATTTTTTTTTTTTTTTTAAATCTTCCTCTTGCATAAGTATTGGAGGCCTTTGTCGCTATTGGCTGTTCTCAAAGAACAATCTTAAGAAAGAGGGCTGGATAGAATTATTTTGCATTTGTTAACAGCTGAGCACTGATAACTGCTGCAGCTAAGTTGGTGTGTCTTGTTTTGTTGTGATAGTGTAACCTGGTTCTATGTCTTTAATCTTTAGTACTGGAAGTCCTCCAATACAGATGAAATGGATGCAGTTAATTTTTCTACATGACTGTGCTATATGCTTTAACCAGAGAAACCTTTCCTTAGATCTTAAGTGAATAGCCCAGTCAGCTAATGAAATAGCATACTTGACTATGTATTTTTTCAGATTTCTTTGGTGGGGGGTGGGTAGGGAGAACTCATCATGCAAGATGAACATGGCCTTTTTTTATTTCATATTTTCATCTCAACATAAACCCAAAAGATCCAGTATTTGTTTTTTATAAGTTGCTTTCACTAAATTTATTTGAAGATGAATATAGGATCCAAAGAGAAGTTTGTCATTAATACAGACAGTGACATTAAGAAGAAAAGGGGGTTATGTCATGGAAGAGCTGGAAGCTTTCACATTTTGGGATCCAACTGTCAAGAGTTGTGACAAAATTGCCTGTAGTGCTGCTGTACATAGAGGGGCATGGAAAGAGAGAGATTTGTCTCAGTTTAAAACATACACAACTGGATAGAGCTTTTCTTGTGTAGGGGAAAAAGCATGAAATTCAAAGAATTTCTTCTAGGTTTATAATGGATCATTATTGTTATTGTGACTTTTTTAAAAGGGAACAACAGAACCTTATCCATAATGTTGTTACTGAAAATGTGCCAAATCAATACTTAATTAAAAATATGCTTTACTTATTCATGTCACACTGGATTTCTAATTTGACAGTTGGAAAATGTTTGTTGTTTTTTTTTTTCTTCCAGGTCAACCTATTTTTAAATGGGCAGCATGTTGAGACATTTGAGGAAGATCTTACGTTTACATCAGATGAGGTTGTTTCATTTGATCCGCCTAAGATTAGCAGTGAATTGAACGGTATGTTCATCTTTTTATTTGTGAATGTATCATTTGCTGTCTTTGTGCTGGAAAATCATGTACTAGGTTTTGTCTGTGAAATACATTTTACCTCTTTATATGTTTTTACGTCTGTTGCAAAATATTTAAGCTACTTTTCTTGGAAGGAAGGAGGCTAGCATCACACAATATGAAATGTGCTTGAGACTATAACAAATATGCAAGTAAATTGATATTCAAAAAAACCAAAGCTTTAGATGCAACTGAAGACAATTGAACACTGGCTTGAAATTGAAACATGGTTTCAAAGTATATTGCAGTCTTACTTCATTAATCCTGGAAATAGTTGGTTTTACCTTACATCAAAATAGTTGTGTTCAGAATGGAGGACAGACTTACAGAATGCTTAGCATTTAGATAATTAAAGTTTGTCCTTATTTCATACGGCAGCCTTCACAAAATGAACAAGAATGGGATCAACCCAGAACTGGTGACTTTTAAAGAAAGCCCACTAGGTCAGTGATCCAGCATGATAATTCCTTTGTTGCTGTTAGACTTGTCTAACCAAATTATCTGCAAAAATAAAAGAAAAAACTTGAGAAAGGCAAACCAGTGAGCTGAATGGAGCAGGTCAGGGTGTCTGCAGTGACAAGCAAGTGTTCAGAGTTGGTCATACGAGCTAGGTACTAGGTTACAGATTATTGAAAGTGCTAGGCACTTAAAAGTTTTTATAGTCTTTCTAATGGCAGGACTATATGCAGTATTTCTTAACGTATGGCACACTTCATAATTCCCTTCTGGTCCAAACAGAATCTTTATTACTTTACTCCTGCTCACCAGAGAAATGAGAGAATTAATTTAAAGCTGTGGATAGATATTTTCAAATGTAAATCATGTGACTGTACCTAAAGATTACCTGTTAGAAATATTTCTAAAAATAATACTGAATGAGTAATTCAGGTATTTAAGTCTGTGTGTACTCAAAAAAATTAATTCTGTGAAGGCACCACTATGTTAAGATTTATTCTGGATTCCAGATCGAGGTGAGTAGTATTTCTCAAAACTGGCATTGGAATAGTGTAACAACTAATGATAAGTTAGTAGGGAATGTTCTGTATCACGTATAGAAATTCTGGAACACACATACAACTGTATGCTTACTGCCCTTTGAAAGTCACTGATACTGGATGCCTGACTGCCATGCGTGAATTCATTTTCCCCATCTACTCAACTATTGCTTCAATGCAATGATTTGTGTGTTGTGCAGAAACAGGTTAAACTCTTAGGTATGTTTTCAGCTCTTATGTCTGTTGCAAATCTAATGTCATACCAGAATCTCTCTGATACCTGGAAGTTCCCAGGAGGACAGGGGGGAATCTGCACCATCAAACTGGGTGAGTTAAGGAATAGGAAGTAATTGTTCTATTTAATAAAGAGGTTAGCAAAGGTCCTGTTTTGTTTTTGTTTTGTTTTCCAAGATGATTATAATGCTTAGTATTGGAGAAAGAAAAAGCTATTAGACTCCCTCTTGCCTTCTTATCACTTGAGAAAACTTTGAGGTGCCTGACATCAGCATTTAAGTACTGAATTCTTCAGGGTTTATTCAGCCAAAACCCCATTTTTGAGGGACAGCAGAGCTCCTCTGGCTGTTGCCCCTGAGAAGGATCCCTAAACTTTTGCCCTTAGTTGTAAATAAAACTGTTTTCTGTATGTGATTAAATACTTACCTACTTCTGCGGCTTAACACATGGACAGCATGGATGAGAAATGGACAAATGGGTTAGACTGTAAGAGGAGTAACTTCTGCTAAAACATTTTCTGTCAGCATTTAGTAAGGAGGGAATTATTTTTCTTAGTTTCATGGTTATCTCAAGGGTGAGGAGCTGTTAGTTGTCTTTGAATAGATAAGAGAAATATGTGAAAATGGATTTCAAAAATGCTGCTAGATGTGGTTCTGGGAGGGTGGAATTTGAATTTACCATTTGTCCTAGCTTTGGAGGGAATTCTTCTGTAGATTTGTTTAAGATGTTTATTAAATGAAAACAATTTCCTGATAAACAGATCGTGAAAGATAAATCAATTAGGGTAATAATAAATGAGAACACCAGAACACTGTCTTGAACTGGTTTTGTTTAAAGGGAGAGTGTCAAAGACTGTCTGTGTAAAATGTTTGATGGAGAAAAGACTTCTACAGCTTCTATGGTTTAAATATTGCCATACTTTAGCCTTCAAAGAAGCAATGCATTTTTTCTTAAGTTGGATATTGAATTAAATTATTAAAAATAATTCTGTGGTGTATGAAGTGTGGTAGTCTTGTCCAAAATGAACAATGACCGTTATCTGGACTTTTTCAGATCCTCTCTCACTGGAGATGTTTAATTAAAAATTATATTCCCCAATTAAATAAATAGACCCTTTAAAATTTTCTGCCAAGTTTCACGGCACATTTCTGCTTGCATTTTTCATGGAATTAAACATGGAAAGGACTGTGAGCATCAAGCTCAAAAGAAACTCCCTGTGTCAGCTCTTTAGTTGTATGCTTTCACCATTCCAAATGTCATGCTGCCATGATGTACTACCAATGATGAACCATTGTGCCAGACTAAACTATACTCACTCTTTCAACTCATTTTTGGCAGTGACCCAATATATGCTATAAAACTTTAGGTCTTAAAGTAGTTTAATGTTGATAGGTTGTTGTTTGGGGTGTGGGTAGATGTTCTCACGCTGACCCAGCTGTGCCAGTAGCAGTGGTTGCTGAGGTGAGCCCCCCGTCCTTTGTTGCTGTTTTCCCTGTTATTACCACTCAGAAGTGCCAGCAAGGCTACTCTTGTTAAGTGCTCTGTGTTTCAACCAAATAAGTACCATGGACTAAGATACACTATACAAATGATGTGTCATGTTGTAGTGAGGCATATTTGTTGCCCACCGTATCTCCCATCCCATACCCAAATGAACTTTTGGGATCTGTCTAGCTGCTGCTGCCATAGGCTTGCAGCCTCCCTTTCTGATAGGCACAGTGAAAACTGCAGCTGATAGGATTTAGACATAAGTTTATTTCTTACCCAGCTGTGCTAAAGCTCTTTAGGTCAGCCTGGCTCATGTGTGAGGAGTCAGTCATTCTCTGCAGGTGGGAAGGAGTTAAAGGTAATGATGATTTGATAGGGCTGGGTTTACTTGATCGCCTGACACAGTTCACTGGGTGCGTATCTACCCATGCCTTAATAGTAGGTGCACTTTAATTGAAATCATACTTGAACTTAGCACGGTGTTGATTTTTGTTTTAAGTATAACTTAAGTATTCATTTGTATCTTTACAAATGAATTTACAAATTAAATGTACCTTTACAAATGAACTTAAATCTGTATTGTTACACTTCCTAATACAGTCTGCCTTTGTCTAGCATTTAGAGCATAACATCTCTTGTATTTAGTATTGGGTCTCTTATTCCCTGAAACTAAAAAAAAAAAACAAAAAACCAACCAACCAAACAAAACTACAACAACAAAAAAACCCCCACCAAACACAAAAAAAACCAAACAAACAACCCCCCCACCCTCCCCAAAAACAACACAATAGTTTGACATGCTCAGCAGAAGCAATCTGCTGAAAATACAGAAGAAGTAGACTGATGCATATTCAAATTGCATTGTGTCTTGCAATGTGAAGTTTGTCCAACATCATTGATTTACAAGACCCTCTCTTCAATTCCTTTAAATTTGGCAGTTTTTAACGCTCTAGACAGAAATTTTCTGTGACAAGCATGTGCCCAGGGCTGAATTGTTTGGTGTTTACACTAACAAAAATAAAAATGTTTTGGGCATCTGTGGGTTGCTCTCTCCCTGTGGCTGCCACCGGCCGCCGCGACCCCAGGAGCTGTGACAGAAGGCAGGCTGGCTGTCGCTTCCCTGCTCTGACTGTTCCCCCTGCTGGTGTCCAGGGAGAGGGGGAGAGCTGCTGCTTGTGTGTGGGAGGATGAGAAAAGGACAGCAAGGGGACAGAGGAGAGAGGGCAACTGAGAGGTGAGAAGTCTACGGCCAGTCAGGAGTGTAGTTGAGTCTGTTAGAGATGCTGGGACTGAAAGCCCAGGCATGTCAGGAGAGCTGGTGTGGCAGTAAGGAAGTTGGATCAGAAGCAAAACTGGCTGGAAATTACTAAATTCTCCCTGCCTAAGGACTGGGAGATAACCTGCATTTCAAGTTTCAGTATTATACTGCTATCAGCAAGTAGCTGAAACTCGGTGGCATAGCGAGTGCTTCATCTCTTGCTTTGGGGAACAGAAACTAGGTGGTGGCAGCCTACTCCTCTTAGTAATCAACGACTGCAAGAGGTCTGTGCTGCGTAACAACCATCAGACCTCATGTATAAACTGTGTGGATCCCACAAGATTGTATTTCTGGAGTTGGGCAGAAGTGGGTTTGCTTTTTTTGATATGTAAGTGGATAAAAATAATATGAACTTTGTTCAACAAAGCGCAAGTCTTTATGTTCCTAAAGGCTTGAAAGTTCAATACTCAGACATCGACAAGTTAAATTGAGATTGACTTCCTGTAGGGTATGCTTTTATGATCATTTATAACCTTTTCGTGTACAGTACTAAGGTATTTACAACGTTGGCAGTTTGAAAAAGAAATACTAGGTTTCTTCTATGCAGCTGAATAAGTAGCTGTTTTAACAGTGCATGTGAAAGTGAGACACGTGTTGTCTTGAAAAGGAATTTTAAATTGTGGCTGTTTTCTGTAGACATTATCAGAATAAAGAGACATTACAGAATTATCAGGACAGTAGCAACTGCATGTATTTTCCACCTGCACTGGAAGCTGAGAGATCTCTGTGTTAAGGGGACAAAAGTTGTCAGCTAGTCAAGAAGTTACAATTAGCTGCTATGCCTCCTCCAGAGATACCACATTGCTAAGACCAAGATGAATTTTCATATTCAGGGGTGGTGGAAGAAGGGATGCCTGGCACAGCATTTGGCTGTGAAAAGTTAAGGGGGATTTGGGAGATGGAGCAGGAGGGGTCAACTTGGTAATTTTGGCCCCCAGCCTCACCTCTAGTTCTCTAGGTGTTCCTGTGGGAAGAAAGCTTGGGAAATGTGTTCAGGGGTACTACAAACAATGCAGAAAGTATACACCTAAGATGACGTTTCCTTCTTCAAAATACACTTTTATTTGTAGCTATCATTAAAATGTATTAATTTTCATATTGTATAGATCTGCCAAGTGGTCCACATACGTACCGCTTAGAAGATCTTGCCTATACTAGAAGTGGAGACAAGGGCAACTCTGCAAACATAGGTATTTTTCTTTTTCTTGCTTTCTGAAATGATGTAAGATTTTTACATAAGAATTACTTGTCAAGTGTTCTTCTTAATTTTTTTTAAAATTTCTCACATCACTTGATTTATTTTTTTTTTGTCTTTGTGCTGAAACAAAAAATAATGCATATAAACCAAGGATTTTTACTAATTAAATATCTGTAGTTTTCTGTTTAGCAGCTGTTGAAATCTGAGGTATTTAAAAAAATACTTGCATGTCATATTACTAAAAAAGGTCTTTGCTTAGGGTTGCAAAGTCGAGCTCCCCAAAGTTAAGAAATGCTTTTTTTAAGGTTTCCTTTGCACATTAGTCACTATTCCTTCATGTGTATGTGTTGTGTAATATAATCTCTTAGTTGTCTGATCATGTATAATATTTCCATACGTGAATTTTGTAACATGTATATGCCTAAAACATTGACAGCGTTAGGAAATACTGAAGTTGTTCTTGCATGTAAGAGTGTTTTTATTATATTGTTTATCCCAATGGTGTATTTCAGTCTGCAGTCTCTTTACATTGATTGTGCTGCTTCTTGCATTGTTGAATAATTCCTTCTATTCCTTACTTCTGCATGCAACAATTGGCTCTCTTACTTGTTGGAAGATGAGAGCGTGTGGTGTTCAAAGCTCAGTATGAATTAAAGGTGCGTTTGGGATTTGATTTGCTATTAGCTGTCATGCTAAAACTGATGTGAATTTTGTTCATTTATATTTAGGAATATAGTTTTCTTGTTCTGTTTGAGAAATTGTTTTGGGGGTTGAAGAATGAAGGAATGCTGATTTTTTTTTTTTTTTTATTTTTTTTTTTTGTCTCTTTTTCCTTTTTTCTTGTTTCTTTTCTTCCCACCCCCCTTCCCCCGTGGTTGACCACCCTTGCAACGTTGCATTGCCAAATCATGAATGATGCACAGCTAATAGAGTTCCTTAATTACAAAGACACTACTGCTGTATTAAGGAACAACAATAACAGCAACAAACTTGACCTCTAAGGTTAATTTAGCTTTGAAGTCCAGAGATAAAAAGATGCCTGTGACACAAATATGCTTTCCTGATCCTGCTGTGGAACCACAGCTTCAGCATAAAGTTATCTGAAGCTTATGAAAGCATATTTACAGCAATAAAAATGTAATTGTGATTTCTCACACTTAGGTCAGAATCTCATGCAAGGAGTGGAGCAAGGACCAAACCTTCGGTCACTGATCATGCCTTGTTATGGTCAATTACGGTTACTTGTCTGAGTCTTGCAAACCATTTAGAGGGAAGAGAACTGCCTGTGGGTTGTTTGTTGCAACATTGCTGTTCTTCAGGTGTCTTTCAGTGGCAGGGACTGTTTACAGCCAAAAAAAGTCCAATAATCACTTAGTCTGGGAGCATTCTTTCATGCCATGCTCCACACTCCCTCTCTACTGACAGAGGGAAAGCTGTTATGCTATGGTTTTTTTATTCAGGAGCTCATTAAAGAGGATCCATGTGTACAGTTTCAGTTAGGAGGATCTCCAATCAGTTTTGAAAGGATAAGTACAAATTGTTTTTAACAGCTCCTATTCTAACTAACACCAGTTATACCTAACAGGTGTGATAGCACGGCATCCCCTCTACTATCCATACCTAAAGAAAACTTTAACTGCTCAAGCCCTGGAGAAGTACTTCCAACACCTTTTAGAGCAAGAAAAACCTGAAGAAGAACTAGTAACAAGGTGAGTAGCTTGCTGCTCAGTCCACAGTTGTATGGTAGATACATGATGGTATCAGAAGTTATCTTAGAGTATGTTTACATAAATATTGCAAACCTGTGTGTATTGCCTTCGAATAATTTTTACGTATCTTTCTTTCCCTTTTTAAATAACAACCTAAGCAATAGCCTTTGAGAAAGAAAATGAGCTTGGGCCTCTCCTGAAGCTGGACAAAGGCAGTGAATCCTTTTAGTGGAGGCATTTAAATTCCCCAAATTAGCATATTAGTGTTGGAGCTGTTTCTTTGTTTTGTCCCAGTACAGAATGTCACTACAGAATAGAAATAACTACTAATGTCGTTTGAGAAATGTATCTTTACTTTGGTTTTGAACCATCTGGAGACTGCAGGAGCCTTAGCAACTGAAGCTTCCCAGGCCTCAGAGCCACGGCAGGACTGGGAGTTTGAAATCTTTATAACAACACCTGAAAGACATTCATGCAGCCAGTACAGACTGGAGCCCAAACTTACCTGGTCAGCTATGAGAAATATGCCTCATCCTATCCCTAGCTCTGCAAAACATTTTAATCTTTAGGAAGCTCACTCATTTTAGTGAGAGTATTCCTTGGAGTACCCCACTCTCACCCACTTTTTTTTGCCACATATACCAAGCCAGAATTTAAAGAAAAAAAAAAAAACAGCTAATTTCTCTTTTTATTAAAACGGGAAAGAGAATACATCCTAAACAGGACACTTTTACCTGGTTTTCATCTACAAAAGAATATCCTCTGCCAGCAGGCAGCATATGTAATGTTTTTGTTTTCATGGTATCTTTGGCTGATGCTCAGGGTGTTTCCTGGGGATTGACAAGTGAGATATAGACTCTTCTTGTAGCTTGAGGTAGTAGGGCTTATTCTCCTAAGGATGTCCAATAAAACAGTCAACAGATTTTTAAACCTTTTTCTCGCCGTAAAAACAAAAACTTAATATTGCAACAAACCATTCAGTCTTCTAAAACTTGTTTTGATACAAAGTCAATAATTCTTCAAGCATGGAGATACTGCCAAATTCATGATGTATTTCCATAGGTAATGGATAAACTGTTAAGTGTCTTTTTGCTAGTTCAAAGACCTTGAGTCAGAAAGGTGCTGCTCAAAACTCAGAGCTTGGAGTTATTTTAACCCCTGATCTTTGAGTTTTAAGTGCTGTTCTTTGTCTTCATAAGCAGCTCAGTACAGATCTCACCCACTGTTTTGTAAGTGCTAACAAATCTGTGAATCTAAAACTATGATAACAAGAAATGTAATTGAATTTCCTCTGAAACAGAGCAGAGAAGGGAAGAAATCAAAAATGTCATGCCTCCTAATGATACTTCTGGAAACTGATTGATTGTTGTTCCTTAATCCTGTTTATATTCATAAATACAAGTTGAAATTTGCTGTGTCTGGATGAAGCCAATTTATTTTGATTAATTAGATTATCTGTTCCTGAGTTTGGCTTCCTTTAATGATGTGATAATGGAGCTCTGAGTGAATTGAAAAACTACTGGGGACAAAGAAGAAATCCTTTTGTGGAAATACTTAGGATTATAAGGGTTATGCTCATGTGCTTCAGACGGTAACATTTCTTTTTAAATTACTTTTTTTTGTTGTTTTAACTGTCATAAAAAGAGCTGTCTTACTCTTGTTCTTCTCCATTTCCTTTATTTAAATTATAAGTGATTAAAAGATATGTATTATACTTGCTACAGAAATCACACCAACTATGGCTCTGCTTCAGTACAGAACAGAGATTGTCAGCCAGTTGCTGTTTGTTCTTCTTCATTAAAGCTATTAAATAGGTGTACTAAACAGATAAAAGGTGGGATTATTTTGATAGAGAACACTGAAAACTCAGACTTCCAGACTTTCAAGTAACATAGTAACAAATGATGGTCTTTCACACCCATCCCCTCCATATCCCAAAACCCCAAACCTGTGTGATTGTTTCCCCCTTTATGTAGAGTACATTCTTAACACATCTGATAATCTTAAAACGTGGAATAAGAAACTTTTCATTTAGTACTATTAGGTCAGTCATTTAAGTAGGATAGTGAAATTAACCTGTGAGAATTTGCTGTTTTCATCTTCTGAAATACGGTTATCTTCTTTATGTTTTGAGTATCCCAATTCTCAGAAATAAAACTGACAGCTGATTTCTTCTTGTGGGATATTTTCACGAAGAGCTGAAGAAAAAGACATGTGGATACTGATGCTTTTAAATTGTGTTGGTTTTTTTTTTTTGTATGTCTTTTTATTATAGGGGAAGCAAAATTACTTCTCTATAGTGTATCTCCTATGCGAACACTTCTTTAAGCCTATGGACTCGGTTCCTGCTTTCCTCTGATAGGAGGAATCCTCTTTTTGATTTAAATGCATTAAATGTCTTTTGCACCATTATAATTTTCCTGCATTTTAATAGGAAATTCACAGGGAAACCTGACTTCTTTGAATATGTACGGACAGCACTTTAAAGGAAGTAGTTAAGCAGGCACCCCATTGTGCATAAACATAAGGGTTCAGCTAGAACAGTGAATTTTCCTTGTTTTACTGGTTTCTGTCACAGACTTAATATTCTTTGAAGGGTTTATTTGTTTTCTGTGCTTTTTAAAAGCAACTTTTAAAACTTGAGATTGAATTGTACAATTGGATAATATTTTCTTCCTTTAGATCTGAGTTAATTAAATTGTTTAATTATGCTGGGTAAATGCATGCCAATGTTTTGGTTAATGTATTGTTACTGCTTAAGACTATTATGATGGTTATAGTGGTTTTTCTTTTTTTTATTGTGGGAGTGCATTTTTTTGTATGGAAATATTTTGGATGCTCAGATGCTTCAAACAGGCCTTCAAATATTGAAAATGCTGACCTTTGTATATTGTTTCGTAATCCTAGTTTTAGCTAGAGTATCTCACTGTAAATATTTCCTCAAAGTACTTGAAGCGAATGTGCCATTCTGTACTGTTCCAAATTAAAATCTGTTGCTTGTATTACGTATTCCCTCTGCCAAAATTACTGCAGAAAATGAAATTAAATTCTTCCACTCCTTTTGTCATTTGCTTCTGCTTTTGTACTGTCTTCAATTTCTCTCCTGATTTGTTTAAATGATTGATTTTCATGAAAGTTCTTTTGAGAGCTGAAGTATTAGTTTCTGGAATACATATTCCATTAGTCTAGTTCTTGTGGAGAGATCTGCCAGTAGTGAAATCGCTTGCTGCCTGGAAGTCTCTGCCAGTTTTTCAGAGTAAAATTTACAATGTATTGTTTTGGTAGACCTCTAGCTCTCATGGTGTATGGTTATTGGTAATTTATAAAGAGTTTTTTAGTTTAAAATTTTGTGGGGTCCTCTGATCCTGTTATGTAGTTGATTATGTTGTGAAAATTAGTAGATTATGTAGATGACTTACTGTGGAAATTGCTTTATTCTTCATATTTCTCTTGTCTAGTAGAGCACTATTGGATTGATCAAATTTTCCTGCCTTCCCAATGAATTTGCCTTTAAGCATTATAATGTTACCTGGCACCTGGTTTTCAAGGGAGGTCAACAGAATGCTACCACCAGTTTTCTTAATAACAACTGATAATACTAAAGCAGAGTGTGGTAATGAAAGAGTGAGAACTCTTTGCCTGGGAGACAGGCGCAGATACTCCATCACTACTACTTGCAAGAGCATAACAAGAACTAAAGTGTTCACCAGGCAACTCAGCAGTATCATCTCCTTCCATGAAGGGTTTGAATCATATACCCAAGATACAAGGGCATACAGAGCTGTGAATATCATCAACAGCCATAACTTTCACAATGCTAAAAAGGAGCTGAAAAAGACAAACCTCAGAGTGACAAAATCAGCAGTAGAAGAGCACTACAAGAACTTCCAGTAATTTCAGAGGACAGATTTGAAGAATGTCCCAAACACAGGAAGATCAGATAGGTGACTAAAGAAAAATAGGTGGTGTTGGAGGGAATGTGATTTAAATTAAAGCAGTCAGATATCTGGAGACAGAACAAGAACTGGATGTTGTCTTTCTCTGTTATTCCTCGTGTCTTACTGATGTTCTGATTAAATCCTTTCCTATGGAAAAAAAAAAAAAGGAAAGCTATTGAGTCCTTAGACTAAGGAAAAGATTGGAAGAAAGCAAAAACAAAGAAAAGAATAATACAAGGATGATGACAAAACACTGAAAAACTGTGCAAGGAGTGGCACATGGAAATACACTGTAGACCTATTTATGGAATTTGAAACAACTTTGTTAGGAAACCACAGAGCCATTTGCCAAACTTCTACAAAAGTTTCCAAATTGGAACTGCAGCAGTCAAAAGCAAGGATGGAAAAATGCTTACAGTGGCAATGGAACAGAAAAATAGGCCTGTCAGACTAAAATAAAATTTTATCTGAACAAAGTACATGACTCCAAGAACACGTTGAAATGTAGCTCTACTTTTGATGTGTTATAGAATTATCAGTACTTGGTTATAAGTTTGACCTAGTGACTCATAGTTATTTCTCAGCAATAAAGAGGATGCCTTCCCAATTAGCTGGCAGCCCTTGTTAGTAAAAGTGACTTCCAGGAATTAAGTGATTGTATTTTTCAGTATCAGAACTAGGAGATATTAAAAATGCCTTCCTCTGTCCACTGTGTTCTCCTGAGTTCGTATTGGATCTTGAACCTCTTGCCTACAGAGCTTTCTATATGGGCTTTAACTCTTAGGGAAAAAAAAAAATGTAGAAAACAACCTTACTAGAAATTGAGTGAGTTTTGAAGTTGAGTAAGAGGTGAATGATTACTTCATGCTCCTACTTTAAAACTATTAAGGACTGTTGACTCAGAACAAGGAGAAGGAACAAGAAGGCAGGGAAGGCTGTGGGTTAATGTTCAGTTAACTTTTAGGCTTGACTCAGCACTGGGATGCCGTCAGAAGCATGACATTTTTGCACACTGTCTTTTGCTTGATGTTCTGTGCAAGTGTTTCTTGCAAAATGTCCTGAGAAACTATGAGTAGATTTTGTTTTACAGATACGAGTTGCCAGGAATCCATGGATTAAATTTTGTTCTGAAGAATTCCCTTGGTGGTGGTGGCATAGCATCCCTAAGAAGTGACCCACAGGCATGTGTCAAAGCATTGAATTTTATGTAGTTATCTCTTATAACTTTGTATTACACAGTCTCTCTATAACCAGCTTTTGGGCTGGAAGTGTAAGCGTTTGGTTTTGATTCTTTAGTTCCTCTTCATTTCCTGTTAATATACATTAGCAAATTAATTGTTCTAACGTTTGAAAACAATATAGGGAAGTAGAAAGTTGAGTTAGAATATTTGGTGAAAAAGATGTGTACAAGAAACTATTAAGAGAGTCTTCAAAACAGTTATGGTCTTTATGATGTGCTACCTGTGTTTCTAGATGCACTAGCAAAATTAACGTCTCAGAAAGGCTGTCAGTGTTTTGGAGAATGCAGATTTAGCAGACAATTCTGATTAAGTGTTTCCTGGTATGTACATGAACCATTAACTGTACAACTCCTCTATCTTAGCCTATGACTCCTATAGTTAAAATACTGATAATTGATATAAATCTGAAAGAGAAAAATAGATGGATATGAGATATTTTGATTTGATGAATCTGAAACTAACGTTTACATTTTTTTGCAAGTCTACCATTTGAGTATTTGAAACATCTAAACCTGAAGATGAGATCCCTTAATGTGGCAATTCTATGGCTACAGCAAAGCACAGTTCTGCCACCACAGGCTGAGAAATGCATATGTGTACAAATAATCTCAGCATAGTCAGGAAGACTGTTCACAAAATGAGATGCTATGTATTAATCAGCAGAATTTAACAAAAAATAAAATAATTTCAGCACTAGATACTAAATTAAAGAACCTCTTCAATCTGTTGAGTTTTCAAGCAGCTGAAACTGAACTGTGTAGTTTTACTTATTTATATACATTCACAAGTGAGAAAGCCAAATAGCTGGAAAAGGTAAATACAATTTTGGATTACCTACAATCCAAGGCTTGATAAAACTCACCTAAACTTTATATGTAGAGATAAATACTCATAAAACTTACAAAGCATACTGAGTTTTTACACTGGTTATAGGAAAAGTACCCTCAAACCATTTTTAAGAACTTAATTTATAAAGGTGGTATGTTTAGGTAGTAAAATGAAATGTTGGTTTGTTGCTTTTTTTTTTTTTTTTTTTTTCTTACAGGGCAAAGCACTTGGACAGATGCTGTTGGATTTCCAGATTAAAAATGTTCCCGACTTAAAATCACTGATAGAGTAACAGGTGTTTAATACATATGCTTTTAACACTGAGTGGTATAAAAACATGTTGTAAACAAGAACTGGCTTCTTGAGTGAGGTCTTTTTTTTTTTTTTTTTTTTAAAGTCAGAGTAGAAATTAGTGACGGTTATCTCTGAGGCTTAGCTATATGGCACAGATAAGCAAATGTTTTGAGTAATACCAGACTAATAGCTTTGCCTGTGACTGATAACATTTCCTGTTTAGATAATACATTGGATGAAGAATTAATTTATTTCCTGTAAAATAGAATTAATCAAATTGCAACCTAACATTTAATTATGAGACAAGATAATCTTTGTTTCAAGATGGAAATTAACCTCCCATTCAGTCCATCTAGCTTTACCTTCTCTCAGTCTTTATTTGAAAATTCAATGGACCGATACAGTAGAGCTCCAGTCAGCTGTGTTTGTCCTGTGCATGGAGTGAGGCTGGGTAACCTGCTGTGCATTGCTGTGAACTCAGCACTGCCTGGTACTGGGGAACTGCTTTCCCTGTTGGGCAATAAAGAAAAGTAATAATTGTTGCTGTTACAGAATGACTGGTTGTAAATGTTGACCTTTGGTGGTGGTCCACCAAACCTCCAGCACTTTGTCCAGTTAATGACAGATTTTATTATTACAGTTTCCAACATCTCTTACTAATTAATCCATTGGTTGAGAGCACTGGCTAATAGCACATTGCAGATCTTGGCATGGGAATAAATTTGAAGATGAGGAAAGGAGAGTGCTGTGAGCTAGTCTGCCTGCTCACTCTCCTGTGGGGGTGCAGACCTGGCAGGGACGAAGCGGGGCTGGATGGTGGGAGAGATACCTCAGTCTGTCTCAGGGCTGTTACGTCCTCATTTTGTGCAGCAGAGTCCCTCTTGGATTAAGTTCATTTGACTGTTGTTTGCATTGCCCTTCCCACAGAAGGGTCCACAAACTTGCCACAGAAAGGTCTGTCTCCTGCTGTGAAGGAATACCATGGTGAATGCAGTTTGCTCCATCTCTCTTCTGACTCCCAGCTACCACCTGCCCATCTCCCGTCCTGCACAATATGACTAGCATGTTCAAATTAGGATACTCCTAAACTTCTTCACCTGATTAAGCAGAGACTCATAAATCCATATCATACTTCCTGGGACAATATCAAGGCAGAAATTCTGGCCCAGTAACTGTCTGTATTTCCTCTGCAGAAGCCACAGAAATAACTTTCTGCATGTTCAGGCATTTTATATTCAGAAATTAATATTTTCCTTTATTTTGGGGAGACTGCATTGTTTAGTGCTGACAAAATGACACATTACTAACACCAGATAAAATGATAAGGGTTTTTTTAATTGTCACTGAAACTGTTAGTTGTTCCTAAGTTGAAGTCTGTGCTCCCACTGTTACTAATTTCCTAGCCTCTTGTTTGCTAATAAGGACTATACAATGAATTGCTTTTCTGTGGTTTTGTTCATTTGAATTGAAGGTATCATAAGTGAATGCTTTATCCATCTATCCATCGTAAGTACTACCTGTGTATACAGCATGATTCAGTCTAGTTGTAAAAAATGAGTCATTACTTCATTGCAGAAAAATATTCCAACTTAATAACTTCAAAGGGAAAACGGCATGCTGATTTTATTATGTTTACAGTCATTGTTCATTAGAAAACTCTTGTTAATAATTTTGAAGCCTATTAGTTTAGCAAAACAAAGGTATTGAAAGGAAATAAACAAAAAAGTGATAGACTCCAGTTGCAAACCTACAAGAATAAAAAGGCTACAGTAAATACTTGCAGTTCACTCAATATGCTGCTTAAGCAACTCTGTAAATGTGTATGCAATAATTTTTGAATAAAAGTGAACATTTATAAATGCGTTTTAGTCATTTATGTTCTCTCTTCTTCTGTAAGAGGGTGATACTTAGTTCAGAGGTTCTTTGTTTTGGGGTTGTTTTGGTTGTCTGCAGTTTTGTGCATTGTCTTGCTGGTTCCCTTCTTCCTTCAGATTTTGTCTGTTCTGTCCCTACTCTTTGTTAAATACAAAAACTGAAAAAGTAAACGATACTGTTTTCTAGAGAGCTGGTCAGTTACAGCTCTACAATGGAAGCTGTAATCTGCTGAAAAGAATGGTACAGTGTTCAAAGGGATTGGATATGGGAATACAAAGGCATTATTTTTTAAATCTGGAATTGCCCTTTTGGATGCTGTAAAACCATCCTTCCAAAACATGTTTTCTGTCCATTATTTCTTTCAGTACACCAGCTTAAACCGAGTGGCATTGCTTTTCAGATACTTTTCTTGTGAATTATAGCCTCCAAAAATCTCTATCCAAAGACTTCATTGTCCTTGACCTCCTTAACATGTTTTGAATTCAGGAACCTGTAGTTATTCTAGCAATCCCAGCTGACATGAAAGCTTGTTAAAAGCTGCATTTGTTTCTTCATCGAGACTGGAGTAATTGAGAAAGGTTTGGCAAAATGTAAATTGTATTCGAAGGTGAACGTATATGCAGTCAGCACTGGTGTAACTTCAGTCAGTTAAAAAATGCATTTTGCCTGCTTGTTAAACCAAGGCTGTTCCTCATAGAGGCAAGAATTTACCCTTCCTTTCCTGCTTTTTCCCTGCTGTGTTAGCTGTGAGGGCGGGATGGAAATAGTAAAGCCTGGGATATAAAATAAGGTTCCATCTAATATATGAGTTCCAGTGTAAGGGAAACTGGCTCACACCTCTTACCTGGGAAGTTTTTGTGCTGTGGCTCCTCTGCCCTACAAAACAAAGGCTGTATTATCTTACCTCTCACAGCTTTCTTACTGCATCTCCCCTAGCTCTTGAAAAATAAAACATGGGGTTTAACATTTATTCTATAGCAGCTAACAATCCAAACAAATACTTTGCCAATATTTCAAAGTGATCTTCCCACTGCATTATTTGTATTAAAGGTTCAAAAGCTACTCTACAGAAGCGACCCAAGATAAAGGATGTGCCAGAGTTTTTGAGGCACAAAGTGTATTTTCAGTTTGGTCATCTCCAAAGAAGCCATTTTTCCACTGAAACACGGGGTTTTTTTTTTCCCCCTTCGGATCAGGTAAAATTAAGTATACCTTTAAATTTGTTTTGCATCACAGCAATTTGAAAGTAATAGGAGTGCAGCCTTTAGGGTTTGAAAGCAGAAAATGTTAGGTTGTGGGTTGCCTTGCAAGAATCTGAATGGTTTCATTCAGAAATTACTTTGATAGGTTGTATGAAGCGCTTTGCACACAGTACTGCTCCCGGCAGTTGCAAGGTAGTGGCGATGCATTACCTGGGTGGATTCCACTCGCTGCAGCTGGGTGTGAGTGCTGGCTGGAGGAGCAAAGCTGTTTCGCAGACCTGGCTGCTGTTCGGTGCTTGGTGGGGTTGGGGTTTGCGGGCCTGAGAGTGAGCGAGCGGTTTGGGGGGGCAGGGAGAGAGGAGGCTCGCTACTGCCTCAGGTATGAGGAAATTACACTGCAGAAATGTCACACCTCTCACCTTGTTTCTTTGAAACCCTCTCAAGCAGTTAAGACTTTTGAGTTTTCCTCTTCTTCGGTTTCATCCTGGTTTCCTTTCTGGATTTACTTGAAATGGACCCTGGTGATTTTGGGATTAAAGCTAACTGGCATTAAGAAAGCAAACAAGGGATGCCTCCAAGTAAAAGATCCTGTTGGGAAATGTTTCTGCCAGGGAGTTCAGCTGAATCTCTCTCCTTTTGGGCAGGGGAAAGAAATCTGAACTGTAGGACTGAAGCATCTCTCTCACCTTATTTCAACAAAGACCATCCAGACGCTCCCTTGACAGCCCAGGGGAAGGGGCGGGGGAGTTGTGAGATGGCAGCAGAGGGCAGGACCAGTGCTGACCCTCACAGGAGGGAGACGGGAACATTTCTGTGCCAGGACTTTCTGTGGAGACTGATAAAGTCATCGGACTGCGGCACAGTGCTCCAGCTCTGGCCCAGCTGCTGTGATAATCGCTGAACAGGTGAGACCCTGTATCATCATGAGGGGTTTTAATCTTTTCTTTGTCTCCTGTCCCTTAAAAATAATGCACCAGTTAGAAATGAGAAAAGCTCCCCCTCCTCCCCCCCCCATTTTTATTTACTAGTAGCAAAAGCTTCAAACATTCCAAACACATTTAAACACCTGGATTTGAAAATTATGTAATTGTGTGGCTGGTGGCTAATACACAAGGTTCCTGCCAGCATCATAAGCCACGTGCAGAAGGTATTTTCTCTTTTGTAAGCGACTCGATTTGAAGTAGGGGGCACGAGAGGGCTAAGCCTCTGTTGTGTAAAAATTTGGCTGAAACTCTCCAGAGAAAATCCCAAATGCCTGATCGTTCTGGTAAGAAGTTCTGGGGCTCTGGCCTGCAATCAGTGACCAAGCACGAGGGTATGGTGGGCCTCTCTCTTTGCAGATGAAGCAAGATGAGGACAAGCTTCAGTTCCCCAGGAAGCTGCGCTCTGCCCTGAGCCGGAGGAAGCAGGAGGGCAACACCAAGCATCATTTTTTGTTGGCAAGCAGTGAGGTAATCCGCTCCCCTGAAGTATTTTCTTCACTGAGGAGCGGAAAACTTCCTTTGGGCCCTCGAAACCTCAACTTTCCTGTGCACAAAAACCTGCCTGAACTTCGGTTTGGTATGTGTGGTGGTCACCTGCTGCGTCCTTCACCTCCCCTTTGCCTTTACTCATATCAGAGCTGTTCCTTGATGGAACAAAAAGGGATGGTGAACCTTTTCTCTTTTTTTGCTGGTGTGACCACAGGGGTTCCACAGCTCGAGGGTGGCCTGCTAGGGATTTTATTCTTGATCCACAGGCTCTCGGGTTTGAAGTGACTGAGGAGGAAAAAATAACTTGCTGTTTCAACACTGTTTGCTTGGGGAGAGGCACCAAGGATAGTAGCGCTCCTCCTCTTTCCTTTTTTTTTTTTTTTTTTTTTTTTTTTTGTGCTTGGCAGCGCGTAGGTTGCAGCGTTTGCCTGCATGTCCCCAACCTCCAGAATACCTCAGGCAAACTGGCACCTTTAGCGCCTGGGGCTGGGGGGAAGATGCTCTAACAAACTGCTGCTCCTCCAGCATTGCTTCCTTCTCCCACCTCCCCTGCCCACTCGGAGTTTCTCACAGAAGCGAAAGTCGGGCCGTGTCCCTCCCCCGCAGCGGGCGCGGGAGCGGCGCGAACAAAAGTCGGGGCGAGGCGGGGACCGGGGGGGGGGGGGGGGGGAAGGGACAGGCGGGCGACCTCCTCCCCTGCCACTCAGCGGGCCCTGTCATCTTCCAGGTAAAATGAATGTCTGTCCCATCCATCATCCCGCCGTCCCGCAGGAATTTGCTCGGCTACTGAAAATTACTAGCCGCAGACGGGGCGGCTTTGTTAACCTGACAGGGCTGCTCTTTTGTGGGCTCCGTTGCCAGGCTTTACGCATTTACATAATGGATTAGCATGAGACACAACGCAGGGGAATGCATCTCCGCCTTTTCCCGCTCTTTCTTAGCCGGCGGACCTTTCGGGCGAGTTAATTTAGAGATGTGACTCCCCTCTCTCCCCCGGCGACCCGTTCTCTCCCGCGGAAGGCAGGTGCGCTCAAGGGCCACCGCTCCGCTCCCCTCTCCTCTCCCGCCGCCGAGCGAGCCCCCCGGCAGCCCCCCCAACCCCCCCAACCCCTCCCGGGCTCCGAGCCGGGCGCCCCTTCCCCGCTTCGCGGTTTGCGGGGCGGGCTGGGGAAGGCGAACGGAGGGGGCTGCTGTCCCGGGAACACACACCCCCACACACACATATATCTCCCCGGGGCAGACGGAGGGCTCCGAACGCACTTCTTCTTGCTTTTTTTTTTCTACCCGGGCGGAGGGCAGCCGGGCCGGCTCGGGGCGGGCGCTCCCCGCACGCCGCTCAGCCGGTGGGCCGGCCCGGGGGCCCGCCCCGCCCCGCCCCGCCCGGTAGCCTAGAAAAGCGGAGCCGGGGCGGCGGGGGCAGCTCGGCGGCAGCCAGGGCTTCCCCCCCCCCTCCCCTTTCCCTTCCCCTTCCCCCCCTCCCCTTCACCCCCTCCCGCCATGAAGAACCCGGTGCCGCAGGCGGCCTCGCTGCTGCTGGAGAAGCTGCTGCTCCTGGTCCACGTCCGGCCCCTGCCCGCGGGCTCCGGCGGGGAACCGCCGGCCCCCGGCTGCTACGACACCAGCTGCTTCAAGCGGGGCGACCTGCTGGAGGTGCCCCGCACCCTCTTCATCCACTTCGGCATCTACCTGGGCGACAACCGCGTCGCCCACCTGATGCCCGACATCCTGCCCGCCCTCACCGGCGACCGCCGGCAGATCCAGCGAGTGGTGACCAACAAGCGGCTCATCCTGGGCGTCATCACCAAGACGGCCAGCATCCGCGTGGACACGGTGGAGGACTTCGCCTACGGCGGCAGCATCCTGGTCAACCACCTGGACCGGCTCTTCGAGGACCAGGTGCTGGGCAGCGAGGAGGCGGCCCGCCGGGCGGAGAAGCTGGTGGGCGCCACGGCCTACAGCCTGCTCTGGAACAACTGCGAGCACTTCGTCACCTACTGCCGCTACGGAGCCCCCGTCAGCTTCCAGACCGACAAGGTACGGGCGGGCCGCCGGTGCTGCCCCCCCCCCCCCCCCCCCGTGCCCCGGGGCCCCGGCGGGCGCTCCGCTCCGCTCCCCGAAACTAGGTCAGCCGCCGCCGCCGCGGAGCTGCGCGGACGGGGCGGGTGGCCCGGCCGCGGTTGGCTTCGAGTGGCGAGGCGAGCGAAGCTCCCTTCGCAAGGGGGTTAATAGGATCCTAAACCAACACCCCCCCCCCCCCCCCCCAGCGGGCCCGGGGTGCTGGCGGGGCCGGGGCTGCGGGCCGGAGCCGCTCCGCTCCTCACCTGCGGGGGGGCCCGGGTGGGAACCGCTGGGCTGGAACGGAGAGCGCGGGCTCCTCCTGGCTCGTTACACCCTTCCTCTTCAACCCTCACCTCTTCCTTTTTTTTTTTTTTTTTTTTTTTTTTTTTTTTTTTTTTCCCTTTTCTTTCTTTTCTCTTTCAGTTCTGTGAGACTGTGAAGATGATTATTCGGGACCAGAGGAGCGTTCTTGCTTCAGTGCTGGTGGGATTAGCGTCCATAGTCTGCCTCGGCTTGGCACCCTCCACCACGCTCCCCACTATCTTTATCCCCTTCTTTCTGTGGATGGCCGGCTGACAGCCTCCCCGGAGGCTCGCGGCCGGCGTCTGTATATAGGATGTACACTGCTCTATTTATGAAAGCACAGGTTACTCATCGGCGTCGTGTACAGCTCCTTAACCTTGTGTGCCGTTTTTAAATACAACTCTGTCTAGAACACAGCGCATAAGGCGTAGCTTACTGTGTAAGCCAAATAACAGATTTCCTGAAAATCTCAGTTGGTACATTTTAACACGCCTTTAAATCATGAAAAAGTAGGGTTGTGATGCAGTTCTGCTCCTTGCCTTTAGCCATTAAGTGATCCTGGTAATATCCTTCACGTTCTTCAATTTCTTAGCTGCGTACCCAGGTGCCGTAATTACTAATAAAAATGGATGATGGAGTTCCCCAAACCGATGGACACTGAGAACAAACTACTTAACCTCTTTCTTTGATAGATATAGTGTATATTCAGAAGTTACTGTCTCTGCTCCTAAAATATTCTTTAGTGGAGACACGAGTAAGCAAGCTGACTCTTTTTGGTAGCAAAGAAGAAAAACCAACCCTAGGCTGGGCGCTGTGTGCTGCAGGAGCTCATCTGGCCGGATAAGCTACAGTCACTCCCCTTCTGGGAAACGTTCACAAATCTCGCCGTTTGTATTAATTGTGTAAACACTTGCTACCATATTGAACAAGTTTTTCATCGGGTTAGTGGTAAGGCAAGATGGCAGTTCCTCAGCGTTTTCCCTTCTACTGATAGCGGTTAGTATGGCTAATATAAATGGCTACAGAGGGTTTCGGGGGATACAGGAAGAAACTAGCTTGCTTTAGGACAACTAGTGACATACAAACATCGGAAATTTCCAGCATTCTAGGGCATGTGGCAGGGAGGAGGAGAGATATCAATTTAGCACCTACCTTCCCGCAGCAACGGGACCTGTGTGGATGCCATAAAGCATCAGGGACCACTGGAGCAATTTCTGTGATGGCTGTATTGTCGTTTTGAATATTGCCTTAAAACAAGGTGCCTCTCGGTGAAAGACGACATGTCTTTCTATATTCATCTCTTGCAAATAATTATTCACTTGCAAGCCAGCAGTTGGTGCTAAAAATGTTTCATCTTTGATGTCGAGGCCTTTCTGTTTATCAAGAACGTGAAAAGTTGGATTTGAAATCGAGTTCACCTAGCTAATTGTTTAAGTGCTAAAAACCTTTGCTGTTTTGTGTTGTTTTTTTTTTTTTTTTTTTTTTTTTTTGTTGTTGTTTTTTTTTTTGTTTTTTTTTTTTTTTTTTTCTTAGCTATGTCTTGATATGTGCAGAGAAATTGTTCAGCTCCTGGAATGCCTTGCACATGATACGTGCACTTGCAGGTTCACGTGCTACGCTTGCTTTCCTTTCTAGTCAAAGGCGAATACGATGGTGTCTTCGCTAAGGACTGAACCTCAGATTTACAACTTTCTACGAGCAGTGTTCAGTATCTTGTCACCTGCTCTGCTACTGAAGTGGCCACTTTCCTCATTTTCAGAGAGACTCATTTTAACTGTGCTATAACCCCCCTTCTCCTTCACCTAGACCTTACAGCTGCTTCAAGACTGAATTCTTGAACTGTGAGTCTCCTTGGCTGCTCTCTAATCATCTTTCTTCTTCTGGCTGCTCCACTATAACCGATGAAGAATGTAAAGACTGGGGTGAAATTCCAGGCTCGTAGGAAACCGCGGCATGACTCTTGCTGCCACCGGCTGAGAGGGGATTTCAGCCCCGCGTTCAGTACACGTTCAGTCCGCAGCCCAGCTCCAAGCAGCTGGATATCCATTACTGTTGGATCCTTGTAAACAACTTCTGTTCGGCCTTCAAAGATTGCAACGCTCGGTGTAACTGTTTCTGGTAAACTTTTAAAATTAAGGTGTTTTTTAATTAACATGAATTGCTTTTTCATAGTGTATGCGTTAGTAATATTTACATAAATTCCAGTGTGGTTTTTTTACTTGCTGTGTGTAAGGTATGAACTGTAGTCATTACTGTAATTATATAAATAGAATTTATTCATTTAAAAACATCTACGGGCCTCTTGAAATTGAGTATAATGCTATAGCATTTCTCTAACATATCCCAGTAGGGCACTGAACAGTCCATTAACATGCAGTTACGCGGTGTCTGATTACAGGTGGGCTTTTCTTTTCCCCTTTATTTACTGGGGATTTATAAGAATTCCAGTAATTCTTACGATTCGCTTATACAATAAACAATGGGGTCATGACCAGTAACCAAATCATAAGCGGGATTGTTGGAAGGCAGAGAAATGTTCCCGCTCTAGCTTCAGTATCAAAGGAGCAGTGCTCCCGCCTCGCTAATGCTGCTGAGCAAGAAGCATCCAGGTTAGACTGGGGGACCTAAACTGGGATTTTCATAGGTGTCTATGAAAGAAACAAAATCAGTCCCTTGCAGACGTCTGGCTGTATTCGTATAGAATTTTCCTTCAACATGTGAGGTTTTAAGCTTATGAAATACTATGGAATGGTCTAGAACGTCCTGCTGTATCCTTCCATCACAGACCAGCAATAATGTGGGCATGGGAACAGAAATTCAGCTACATGTTCAGGAGTTTTTCCTACCAACTATAATTCTAGCAGAGATCTGGAAATTTTGTTAAAGTCAGGCATGAGTCAAATCAGTCAGAGGGGAAAAACAAGACTAGCAGGCATGAATTCTCATGTTCAGCTCAGCGGGTGGTGGTTGTGCTCTGAAATATTTTGGTAAATGTCAGTGTCGACTTTTTTTTTTTTCTGTAATTACTTGAGTAAAAATAAGCACTTGCCCTAGGTGGAGCATTGCATTTCAGACTTGAGCTCAACTGTGATGCCATTGAATTGAAGGAGCTAGTTATAATAAGAAAAACACAGAAAACTGTGGAGCAGTTCAGCTGTTTGGAAGCGTATGTGCTTAGAAGTGAAATTGTTCATCGGTAGCTGTAAGTGATGGTGATGGGGAGTGTAAATCTAGAGCTGCAGCTCGTTTTAGTGGTGGGGCTGTTCTGAAAAGATGTGTGGTTAAACCAGCATATGTAATGGAGGAGTATAACCATCACCCGTCTGACACCGGGAAAGGCAAGTAGCGAAGACATCAAGTTGAAAGGATGGATGTTTCACTTCAGGCTTTCCAAAGAAAACAAAAATAAAATGAACATTCACAAGGCTCGAAATGTTTTTACAAAACCTGTATTTAAAAGGAGAAAAAAAAAAAAAAAAAAGTGGCTAAATGAAGACATTAGAACAGTGAGCTTTCTGTTTGTATTTATTTTATCTTGGAACATAAATGATTACTCATTTTGTGGTGAATAGTCATCTGCTGCTTGATTTCACCTTTGGGTCCTCCTGTGTTGAAGGAGAATGCTACATATAAATACCATTAAGGCTTTTAATGAAAACAAAATCATAGCAATACTTGTTAAAGTCTGAGGGGGTGGGGGAGAGGGAATTAAACTTGTGTGTGACTTGACGTCGTCCAGACAGGTTTTAGAAAGCAAGCTGCAGCAACAAGAAACATTAGAACTGTGATGTCTAGAAATGATATGGTGGTGTATTATTTATTGCATGTTCTCACTTTAAATAAAGCGTCACACACCACTGAATGATACAGAACTGTGTTAGGACAGTCATTAGTTAGCACCTCCTTTATCCCTGAAGTAAAACAAAAATTAAAGTTCTCAGGTGCCTCTAGGAGCCATTTGCTGCTTATGCTTTGTCCTAACTTAGGACCTGATTCCTCTGAGCACTGACCTGTCATGAATGGGCTTACTGATGGGAAATGAAGATACAAAAGCTTCATAGTTTCGAGGCTCTTTGCCGTAGCGCACTGCACTCTGCTGTAAGCCTTACAGAAACCTGTCAGAACTCTGTGCTGGTAAAATTAAACTATGATCTCCTCTGCTGCAGGAATAGATCACTACAAGTATTTGAGGGCTATTTTTGGTGTATTTTTTTAAGAATCGATTCTGTGCTGTGTTTTGTGGTCGAGGGAGCTTTTAGGCTATGGTCCTGAGTGCTCAGAGGCTGTGGGAAAGGGGGGGGGGGGCGGGGAAGTGGCCTTTAGGAGATCAGAATTACATTGATTGCAGTACTGCAGTTCTGTCTGTGACAAAACTGGTGATTTATGTTTACTGTTTCTGTGTCTCACAGGGTAGAAAACTTTCTGTAAGATGTTCTGTAGCTTTTGAATGTTTTCCCTGTTTATTAGGGAACTTTGGCCCTGTGACCTTATTTTAGTAGCTGCCTCTTCTCTGTAGCGTGTTTGTGAATTGGAAAACAGTCAGTAGCTGCTCTGTGACAGTGTGACTTGGAGCAAATCAGCTGCTGAGTCCCCTACAACTACATCACGACGTCTATAACTAGGTGCTTGGTCTGAATGAGGCAGTGAAAGTGCCGGAGGCGGATAACATAGGTTTATTTTACTGGCAAGGGCAGGGCACACTAAGTGTGCTGAAGGACCGGTCAGTGAACACAGAGGTGTGTGCCCGTGAAGACTCAGATGCTGCTTAGTTGGGCACACTGGGCACAGGAATGTGTCTGCTCTCCTGTCCCTGGCTGGAGTTTAGGGGGCTTGAGACGGGGTTGCATATTAGGGCTGAGATTAAATGCATTAACTTGCCTTCCCTTAAATTGAGAGGTATGCCATTAATGCCACAGGCTGTAATCTAACCTGGTCAATAAAATGGGCTGGGGGCCATCTTCTGACTGCGTATACAGCTGAACAACCTGACCACTACCACGCAGGTTCTCCTCTGGTGGCTACCCCTCCCGCTCCCGCTGCCCTGCCCCAAGGCACGCTCCGAGGGAGCACTGGCTACCAGGGGCTGCAAGGGGCACCCCGCAAACAGCAGCCAGCCAGACCACGTGCAAACGCGCAGATCCCATCTGTGACCTTGTTTAGCTGATTAACCTGGCCAGAATTTTAAGGCAGACATCCCCGTTTGTTACCCAGAACCTCGAATCCCTTCCTGATTGAGCAGCGCTTTGAATGGAAACAGCAATACCATTTATAAAGAGTACAAAAATGTGATGGTTACAGCATTTGGGAGACCTGTTCCTAGCACCTTCTCAGTGCGTCCTGCAGAAGACTCACCAGGCTTTGGGTAAGGCTGAGGTAGCTACCCTTCACCTTTTCTAATTTTATCTCATGGTTAGGACAGATTATTGAATTTTTTTTATCAAGTTGGGCAACACCCATGGCTTTGAGTTAGAAGGATAAAATGGCTCTCTGGCCACTCTGTGTTGGAACAGGCTCTCTCTGGGCTCCATGTATTTTCCCCCTCCAAGCGGGGTGTCACTTTTGATGGTCTATGGGCCCAGCGAGGTTCTGAGTGGGAACCAGATCCCTAGATGCAGCTAGAAATGCTAACAGGGGAACATTTCTGACTTTGACACAACACAAAGTGCAGCCATTCAGGAAACTTTCTGGTAAAAATAAGGGAGAGACTACCAGTTTAGATCAAAGGTTTGCTTCTTTGCTGCAATGTCGTTTTAGTTAAAGCAAAAACTTGCTTAAAGCAGGTACCTGCTGTGCCTCTCTAACTACTGCCTACAGATTCTCTTTTTTAATTCCCATTTCTATAACTGTGACAATAATCACATTTTCTGGCCAGCTGCAAGACTTGGTTAATATTTGCATAAGGTTGTGGGTTCCTTGCATTGGAAATCCAAAATAAATAAAATGCACGGTTCCTCACCAGAAGGGAACTTCCCTGCCTGTGAAACCAGAGTTTTCTGTGAGAGCAAGGAGGTATACTGTTTTACATAATTAAGGATCCATGCAAATGAAGGGTTTTGCTCTGCCAAACTTGCCAAGCCACCTTATCTTCTGCTTCTGTACAGTCTTAGGCCTGCCTCAGATTCACACCTGCGTTCCTTGCAATTTTGCAGAAAGCACCCGCACATTTCCATTTAGTACTGCACAGAAACGCAGGGAGGGGAGGGTCTGCTACGGCTGCCCAGTAGGTAAAAAGTTAGTAATTAATTCTCATCAGAAGTGAAGAAATGTGGGTGTGAAGATAACGAGAGGTCTCCTGCCACCCTGGCAGAAAGATTAGCGGTAGATCCTAAACAAAGCTTTGCTATTTTTGTTTGCAGACAAGATTGCACGGAGTGAACGCTCAGGAGGAGGGAGGCACCGGGTTTCAACCACGTTCATTCGGAGTCTGTCTGAACAAGGTGGTGGTGCACTGTGTCAGTAGCCTGGAGCCAGCCCTGACTTGGTTGCTTCCAGAACCAGAAGCAGCACAGCTGTGACAAACGCAGACCCGCGTTTAGCCCTAGGGGAGGAAGGCTGTTGGGTTCAGCATCATGCTATCCCGGCTCTGCTGCTTCTGGAGCCTGAACAGGTAGCACCTCGTGATCCCGTCCGGGTTTGCAGTCATACCAAGAACCCGGAGCAAGAGCTCTGAATCAGGCAGATATACCCCAGACTGTTTAAATTCCATCCCAAGCCTCGTTTTATTCATGGGTTACTTTACACAGGTTCCAGCTTTGCCAGTTCGTAAGGGGTCTGTGCCAAGTACCTAACTCTCGCCAAGCTTTGGAAGAGAAAGAAGCCTGAAGGCCTCGCTCAGGGCTGAGAATCACCTCCGGCTGGCAAGTGCGTAAGGCTGCAATGCCTCAAGTATACACGAAGATGTGGCCCATGATGTCCACGGTCATGTCTCCACGTCCCATTCCTCAGTCTTCCATCAGGCTCGGAACGTGCACAAAACTCAGCTCCTCTGGAAACCCAAATGTGTGATAAGCTAGGACGTGGCCTCGACAAATGGAGGCAAAAGTAACACCTCTTCGCCCAGTACATCAGCCATTTAGCACTGACAGTCGCACGGTAGACAGCTTTTTATTTTCCTTTAGTTATTACTCACAATTTCTGACAGCAAGTAGGTTGGGTCACACTGTAAGAAAGAACTACTCTGTTCTAACTATTTTAGAATGACAATTTGATCATGTATTGACAGACAGGGTGTAGACTGGGAATAATGTCTTTTCAAAACCTTGCCTGGAGAAAGCCGCAATTCTGCTTGGCCAATGAACTGAAATTCCAGTGAGGAACAGAGTGTTTCTATTTCTGATGTCTTTGAGCAATTCCAGTAACTCTAATACTATTAAAACATTGAGAGTTACACAGGCAGTAGACCTGATGCATAGTCATGTAATGTGTTTCAAAATTATAATGAGGTTTTTATGACTTGCAAAGAGTTTTTTTAACAAGCAAACTGAAAATATCCACCCAAACCAGTTACTTTCCCTCAGTAACTTTCTAGTTTGCATTTGGGGAACGTTTGTGTTAAAAGCTCTCTTACAGACAGTACTCAATCCTGCAATTAAATACAAATTTGTGCTTGCAACAGGAGTCTGTTCTTATGGGAAAGACACTGGATTTGTGACATAAATTGTGAGCTCACCATATAATTGAGCAGGAAGAGAACACGGGATGTGAGCAAGACATCTGTCTATATAAAAAAACATTTGATCCTAATAAAAAAAAATAGTAAGAGAAGTTACTTTTTTAAAAAAAATCACTTTACTAGTACTGCATATTTTAAAATTACCCCATTAGGACAGGTTCTCAGTAATTCACCAGATCTACTGTTGAGTACATAGTACTCCAGTCTTCTTTATTGCAAGAGCATCATTGGGTATGTTTCTTCCAACTAAAATCAACAGGAGCTTTGTCACTGTCTTCATAGAGAGCAAGATTAGGCATGAAGTATTCCCACCCATTCCCTGACCACACCAAAATCTTGTACCTGTGGAAATTTAATAACAATGTTCAGAAACAAACCCCTGATGACTATGAACTTTACACAAAATTACAACTTGCAGAATCTTACAGGTCATAAATTGTGTAGCTTTTTTTTTTTTTTTTTTTGGTAGTTTTTCAAATCTATTCAGACAGCTGCTTACAGATGGTGGCTTCTGCACTGATACCAGTGCTTCCACCTAGTTTTTTTGCTGGTCTAGGCAATGCACTCTTCAGCTGGCTTCTGAGAGATTTTTCTCTGAACACAACTACTCCAATTAATCTTTAGAAAAACTGGACTCTCAATCCAGAGCTGCAGCAAGACAACCAGACGCTGTTAACAACCTAACTACCTTTGAGAGCCTTCAGCTTATAGACTAGAGCCAAATTTTTCAGCATCACAGGAACCCAGGAATGAACCTGGCAATATACAAAGGTCAGTTTAGCTCCGTATCATTCTCCATCACTGAGCAACAGTGAGCACTTGGGGACAGGGGACAGGTACAGACAGAGTCTGGATACGTTCCCAAAAATTTCTGTAAGCAACAATTCACAAACTTCCAGCTTTAAAGCCTGCATTCATTTCATCATGTTTAATGCCCTTACCCTACATGAACTTGTCTTGCTCCTTTTTTAGCTTATCTGTCTGGCCTTATCTGTCTGAAAGGTTCTATGGCAAGATTAATTATGACATATGAAAAAGCACTTTATTTTAAATTGGCTGCCTGATGATTACATTAGCTGTCCCTCCCCTTCTTGTACTACAGGGAACAATGAATAATCATTTTGTGTTCATTTTTTCCACTTAACTGTCTTACAACTCAGATATTCCTGATGGAGAAGTCAGAGTTTTTTCAGTCTCCACAAATTTGCACAGAAATTCTTTGGAAAGTGGCTCCATTTGGCACCATCTTTCTACTACCATGCTGCCCTCAGAAATTTATTACACATTACACCTCCAAGTCCAATAATATCCTGGAATTTCTTTAGACTTGAATACACCCAGTCTTGTCAGTTTGTTACTTTGAGTTTATTCATCTGTCCTAAAATGCCTTTTATTGACCCCTCAGGTTATGACTACTGTAAGGCTCTGTTGCCTGTAAAAAAGAATTAGCATTGAAAACTTCTGTATCACTTTCATGTTGAATATTGCTACAAAAAGATATTTTTTTTTTCTA